GATGCTGGCTTTAACAGCACATTAAAACCTGTCTCCTGTGCAATTGCAGTCAGGTGGTGCTGTTAGTAAGGAATGTGCCTCACCTCCAATTACCACATGAACATGTAATGTGCTAGCAGACAAATGGCTTAAATGTGGGCAGTGTGGAAGAGTCTGCCTACACCTCTTCATTCTCCTGTGTCTGGTAGTGGGGTTTGAAACTGTGTGAGCTGATATGCATACAAAACACATCTTGCTATTCCAAGTGAAGTATTATTTCAAAATATTTAAAAAAAAAAATAAATGTACATTTCAAACTTTAAAACAAAACACAACTTATCTCCAAGGTTGGTTAAAACACTAGAAAACTAGTAATTTTTGCTGATTATTTTTTTGTTGAGCTGGTTAGCAAGACTCTATTCTACACAGTTGATACCTTGCAACCTTGTCTGAAAAGAAATGTCTTGTGGTCTCATGTTGTTTGTAACTATTGTTATTTTCTCAATATAGACAGCCTTCTGTTAAAAAAACCTTTTGCTGACTTTTGATCTTGATTTTGTTCTTAAAAATCTTCATTTTTCCAAACAAATCTGATTTTGGACCAGTTAATTCAGTTATATTTAGTTTCATTCCAATATCAAGGGATTATGGAGACGTATTTCACATAGATAAAAATTAAAAAGAAATGAACATGTGCAACTTCCCAGCTGTTGACATTGCAATCTTCAACTCAGCTCTGCACTGTCAGTGAGTCAGTGGATTGTCTAGATGGCACTGTTTCTCTTTCAGAAAACGGAGCATGAGATGCAAGCACTCTTTTTCTGGCAAAGCTGGGGGTCACGCTGTTACTCTGGCATTTATTGCTGAAATTTTGCAGATGTTCACAAGCCTCCCCCATAGACGGCAGACACATATGGAAAAACAGGAGGTTATCATCAGCCATTTTATAAGACCTTCTAATCCTTTCTCTTTGTTGCTGCATCTTCTGTGCTTCAGACATTCCTTTGATTTCCTCTTACTTTGAAGATGTTGAACTGAGCAGTAATGTTGTATTTTTGTAAAAAAAAAAGCTAATAAAAATAAAGACTGTATTTTTTCTTTGAAAAGACTGCATTGTGACAACATTTACACAGCTCTCTCTTGAAATGAATTTTCTTTATCAAAAGAGTCTGCTATAGTCTTTTAGTGCAACAAATGTTTTGGGCTGTGGCTTTTAAATTATTGTTCTGGAACTGGATCCTGTGTGTAACTGATGGCAGCACAATTTCATTTTTTATTTAACCTGTTTATGCAACTTAGATGTTAAGAAGAAACCCAGAGTTATATACTCACTGTTAGTTTGCAAGACTGTTGATTAAATTTAGAATATTTTTCCAGTTCTTTTCCATTTCCAAAAATAAAATGACAGTGAGTCACGGTGTACCCTGGGATTTCACAACATCTCTGAAAAGTCCCATATTTTACTTTGTGGATTTGTGTAAAAAGTGAAAGCTGTGTATCATTTACCCTGTATAGCCATGGGTGTTTGTGAATTTGCACTATAGTGACATTTTGATTTTTTAAGAGGCATGCTCAAATAGTTATTTTTCTTTTGAAAAAATAAATTACCAAAAGAGTTAAAAGAGGAATTCAAGTCCTATTGTCGTTCAGGTGGGTTCAGCATGTTTAGGCTACAAAGGAACAAGTAATAGGCTTGTTCCATGGTGAAAAGAGAAGAAAGAAAACACAACGTTACGCTGCTTACACCCGAAGAAGGCTCGGCAGGCTAAACGTTGTGTTTTCTTTCTTCTCTTTTCAGCATGGAATAAACCTCTTACTTGTTCCCTTCCACGTCCTATTGCGATTGAAACTGGTAAAAAGCTACTTTTACCATATGACCGGAAGTATTTAACTGAAAGCCCAAAGGGATGCTGTGCCACTAATTCAGATTTCTAAATTCAAAAATTTGCTTCATGGTTTAAAGAGATAAGCTGAACTTGGATAAGCAACAAACAAATCTACTCCTAACAACCCAAGATCACGGCTGATAGAAAAGAGGCTGTTATCAGCACCAAATTAATTTAAATATATTAAGGTTTTAAATAACTAATTGCAAACCTTTTAACACTACCTCTGAAATGAACCTCAACTCTATCATAAATGGTATTGATAATACACCTGACAAAACAGTTTTAATTCTTAAAACAAATAATTCTTAATTTGTTGGGGACTATTCAGAGCAGTGTAATGAGTAAGGATCTATATTACTTATACACACATTTCACACACATTCTTAGAACTGCACAGGCAGAAGAGTGTTGGCTTTCCTGATGCTCATGACATTCAGTTGTTCACTTGTGACACATCAACATGTTGTTAATATCAGAGATTTTTATGTACAATGAGCTTATTACAATGAAACGCCTCTGGCAAGCTGAGAAGGTGGCTTCATTGCTTATTGAGCTGTTTCTATTAGACACTCAGAGGTACAGCATGCAAGATCAAGCATGACAAAACAACATATTCTACTCATGCACAGAAGAAAAATTTAGAATTTCACTAAAAATACTTAATTGATTTAATAAATAGCAAGCAGTAACATTTCTTGTATGTAATTATATGTATGGCTTGTAAATGCAATAGATTATTAGCATTCAAGCAAAAAAGTGTTTTATACCTATTTTGTAAAGGGTTTTGATACAGTTTTGCAGAATTTCAGTAGCTAATATGGGTGGTAATATGGCTAATACAGTGAAAGAGACACAAAATGTTTCCTAATGTGACACATGGTCAAATTATACGGGGATATTAGGAGTATGATTCCCTCTTGGAAACATTATTCTCACATAATTGCATTACAGGGACTGAAAACACTTGGTCTATAGTCTCATGTCCTACTTACTATCACTCATTATGTTCACACTATTCTATGAACAGCCTGTCATTTGTTACTGCTTGCCAAACTAATTTGAGAAGTGTGGATGAGTATTACAAAAGGTAATATGTAGTAAGTGTAACTCCAAATTCAGAAAACAAGAGATGTGCATTCAGACCTTTTTCATTTTACTATAATGGAGGTGGACCCTCGGATGATATTAGCAGCTTCATGAGAGATATACAGCAATGGATTGTTTTGCAGTGGCACAAATTAAAATAATTCCCTTGTTAAGAGATAATGAAGGCTGTCTCAGTAAT